CTTTCTCCTTCTCCTTCCCTTCCCCTTTCTCCTTCCCATTCTCTTCCTCTTTCCCTTTTCCCCTTCCCCTTTTCCTTCCCCCTCCCTTTCCCCTTCTTCTCTCCTTCTCCTTCCCCTTTCCCTCCTCTTCCCCTTCCCCTCTCCTTCTCCTTTCCCTCCCCTTTCCCTTCCCTTCCCTTTCCCTTCCCCCATCCCTTCCTTCTCCTTCCCCTTTTCCTTCCCCCTCTCTTTCCCCTCTCCTCTCCTTCTCCTTCCCCTTCCCCTCCTCTTCCCCTTCCCCTTCCCTTTCCCCTTCTCCTCTCCTTCTCTTTCTCCTTTCCCTCCCTTCCCCCTCCCTTTCCCCTTCTTCTCTCCTTCTCCTTCCCCTTTCCCTCCTCTTCCCCTTCCCCTCTCCTTCTCCTTTCCCTCCCCTTTCCCTTCCCTTCCCTTTCCCTTCCCCCATCCCTTCCTTCTCCTTCCCCTTTTCCTTCCCCCTCTCTTTCCCCTCTCCTCTCCTTCTCCTTCCCCTTCCCCTCCTCTTCCCCTTCCCCTTCCCTTTCCCCTTCTCCTTCCCTTCCTTTCCCCTTTCCCTTCCCATCAGGCTGAAATCAAAACTACAACAACCTTGGAGGAAAGAATTGGACCCAAGGGAGGAGGCTGGGAGAGGTCTGGGCTCTCTCCACTCATTTGTCATGCACGGAAATGGGGGGAAAAAAGTCAAGGGAAACAAGGAGGTCACAATGGTTAAAGAAGGAATAGAAAGGGATGGCAAGGAAGGGGAAATAGAAATGAGAGGTGGGGGGGAAATGGAGGTGTCATGGTTTAACCCCAGCCAGCAGCTAGGACCAACAGCCACTCAGTCACTCCCCCCAGCTGGGATGGGGGAGAGAATCGGAAGAGTAAAAATGAGGCAAAACTCATGGGTTGACTCCAAACATTCCCCTCTTCCCCACAGCTTTATACACTGAGCACCACATCACGTGGTATGGAACATCCCTGTGGTCAGCTGGGGCCAGCTGTCCCAACTGTGTCCTCTCCCAACCTCTGCACCCCCAGCCTGCCCGCTGGTGGGGTGAGGAGCACAAAGGGCTTTTGGGCTGCTCAGCAACAACCAAAAACATCAGTGGCCACCAGCAGCGTTCCCATCCCAAACCCAAAACACAGCACCACACCAACCGCCAGCGAGAAAGTCAACCCTGTCCCAGCTGAAACCACGCCAGGAGCTCTGTCCCAGCCAAAGCCACGGAAAGTCAACTCTGTCCCAGCTGAAACCATGCCAGGAGCTCTGTCCCAGCCAAATCCACACCAGGAGCTCTGTCCCAGGCTGGGAGCAGGGAGGGGTGAACCTAAAGCACTCGAAACCCCAGCACAAGCAAGGACCCCGGGCAGGACAACGGAGGAATAAAACTTGCCCATGTGTGACACAAAGCGTGGGAGGAGAGAGGTCACCGAGCAGGATGAAATCGCTCTCCTGTGTTCAGGAGCCACAGACCTCAGAGCGAAGGCCACGGGATAACACTGAATGCTGATTATGCAAAAAAGAAGAAATAGACCCAAAGTGTTTGGCTCAAAACCACAGCAGGGCAAGGGTTAAAAGAGAGTTGGGGTGGAACTGGGAGCCTGATGGTGACATCGGCCAGAGATGGTCACATCGCAGCAAACACGCGTTTGTGCAGGGCTTCCAGTGAGCTGCAAAACTGCGTTTGCCTATGGAAAAAAGATCCCTGGAATATCAGGAAACAAATTGCTGCTGCTTTCCCAGATAGAAAGGTGAGAGCAGAGGCTATGAATGATGCCTGGGCAGTTTAAAATAAATAGATGGGCAAAATATAGGTTTATAAAAAGGCATTCTAAGTCAAAAAGGGAAAGAGTAAGAGACCAAATTATAAAAAAAATAATAATAATCAATTCTAAGTCAAAAAGGGAAAGAGTAAGAGACCTAATTATAAAAAAAAAATAATCAATAAGGACTTAAATACAAAAGAAAGACTGGATTTCTTTATGCCAGAGAAAGAGAGAAGATCTGGACATTGTATCTTAAGCAAAGGGGAAGAGTCTCACAGAAGATCTCCTGGCAGCTTGGTAACTAAGGTCACTGGAAGTAGAAAACCTACGGGTAAGAGTGAGGAGGGTCACCCTCCTAAGAAAGTTTTGTCTTCAAGATGAGGAAATACAGAAGGTAAATAATGGCAGCTAGAAGCTGTTGCTTCAACCGGGGAAGAAGAAACAGGGCTATCACGCAGGACATAGAGATGGAAGGAAGTCTGTCAATATTTCCCAAAATCGATACGCATTTTGCTTCCATTTTTAATAGAGATGATTATGTGAAAGACGAGAGCAGGAGGAAGATGAGTGAACAGGAAGAAAGTCACGGGCAATTACTGCAGTGGGGGAAAACCAAACCATCTTGTCCAGAGGTCAGAGAGGCCACGTGTGTGAACACCAGGGTGAAAGGAGCAAGAAGTTTGACTGCAGCCCTCAAATCATTCTGGAATACCTGCATTAGGAAAAGGAAGGGAAAAATTTACAGTGATTTAGACAAGTTTTGAGGGAAATAATTAAAGTTATGAAGTATGCGATTACATGCAGTGTTGCCTCAGCAGGATATCTTTCCCTGATACAACTTTGTTTCCTTTTTCCTTAAAGAAAGGAAATGTGGTAGATGTAATCTATTTGGGGTCAATAACACCTGATACTCTCCTGGCAGGAAACGGCCTATTTAAGCAGAAGAACGTGGGGATCAGGAGACAACTACAGAGGGGTGTTTTGTGGGGGAAGTGTCAGGCTGAAGGAAAGCCGCTCTGTGGGATTCATCAAGGCTCCTGTTGTCCATCATATTCTCCTTATAGTGGTGTCATTGAGAACGGGAGCATGCTAATGAAATCTGCTGTTGGCAGAGCTGGGAGACATCTCCAGTTCAAAGAAGGGTGGGAATAGTATACTGGGGAAAGTGCACACCTCCTAGAACTGGATTAATGAAAATATAATTAAATTCTGTAATAGTAATCACATGCAGAGATTAATCACAGAAATTTCTTCCATTGACGATGAGATCAGCGCTTGGAAAAGAGAGAGTAGTTAATCACAAGATGCGTAGGAGCTAAGCAAAAAGGGAGGTGTAAACCCAGCAGTGTCAAACCCGTAATTTCAGAAAAGATCTGCAGTGCAATGTGAGATTCCATCAGCCCGTCAAGAGCAAACCAAAGGGGAACAAGTGTGGACAAAACCTGCTGTGATGATCGGGGACTGGACAGCCCATTTTAGAGGAGGATAGAAACACTTGGTGTACTCCATTTGGCAAAACAAAGAAAGTGGGGCCTGGGAAATGGGGAAGCTGGGAAAGTTAAAATTAAGAGAACAAGTTGGTTTAAGCTCAGCTCGGCAGTCAGAGTAGCAAAACACTGGAACACGAGTGGCAGGAGCAAGATCTAGTCTGACTTCTTTTAAATGGAGCTGGAGGACTTCACAGAAGGGATTACCTTGTGTGGGTGACTGCAGTGACAATGAGATTGGGTGACCAAGAGATCCCTTCAGAGGATCTTCTCCCTCCAGAGAATATTCTAACACCAGCGTGCAAATAAATACCTAGGGCTAACAAACAGCAGTGGGTGCAGCAGTGGTGTCTCCAACACCTAAAGGGGTTTGGTAGAAAAGGGGAAATGGGAAAGGGTGATGAAAATGAGATGACGCCTCAATAAACCAGTTTTATAAAGGAGATGATTAATTAGAGACTGGATCAAAGTGCTAAAATAACTGAAGAATGGGATATTATCCCCCTGTCTCAGAATACCAAAAGGAAAACAACCAGCCAGATTGAAAGGTAGAACTTCTGGAAAAACTGAGATACAAAAGATGTACTTGTAAAATAGGTGATTGAGCCACTGCGTCAATTGTTGTAGGAAGGCACTGGGACCAAAATTAAAATTATCACTGTACAAAGGAGGAGTGTGTATTCACAAATTATTAGAAAAATGCATTGTTATAGTATTTCACACCAGCATAAGATTCATAAGCAGCAGTAAATTAATCTCCTTAAATTTTGCACCAGTCTGTTAAGTATTGTGGACCAGAAAGAGCTGTAACACAGCGTGGACAGGCTTTCTCATTCATCGGTCTTTTTAACACAAAATTTCTTATGTCTTCCTCTCATTTCCACAGAAGTGACTGCTCCTGGGGACAAAGCCACGGTTTGGAGCTGACGCAAATATGCACTTCCGCACCTCAGGGACTCGTTTCTAGAACTGCTTTAGTGCACGGTTCAGAGGGTAAGTTTGCACGGGGCTTGTGCCCTCCGTAACGACACTTCCATCGGCAGCCAGGGAACGAGCCTTACCTTGTTATCTGCTGCTTTGGTAATTAACTTCTGCCGCGCGCCTTCAGAGAAGCGGGTGGCGGGGACAGGGTGTTCAGAAACACGGCCAACGTCTGCTCCTTCCAGGTAAGTATTTACTTTCCAAAGCACTGTGAATTCTCTCTTTGGCTTTATAGGAGTAAACACAAGGAAGCTCTCTGTTCGTGGCACAGTCTGTACATCCCACACTCCCAACATATAGAGCCAAGTTGAACAACCCCTGTGAACTCCAGTCCCTGGGAGTTGGACTAGATGATCTTTATGGTCCCTTCCAACTCTAAAAAATCAGTGAAATTCGGTGAAATTCAGTGAAAAGGCAGAGAAGACCAGAGTTTACTCCCTCTGACACTGCCCTCCATCACCTTCCAAAAGCAAAACAAAAGAGGGAGGAAACAGATATTAAAATAAATTGCATAAACAGGAAAACAACTTCTCTCTGTACTGGGAGAGATCTCCCTGGCCGGCAAAGGCCACACTTACTG